CTCAAGTAAGTAAATATATAAATAAATAAAAATGGAATAGAATCTGTTCCCTGCCTTTTTCAACTTCAAGGGGCCACCTGCATTCCTTGGCTCATAGCCTCTTCCTCCACCTTCAAAGCTAGCAATGTAACATCTTCAAATCTCTGCTTTCCTCATCATATCACACTATAAGTACCTTCATAATTACATTGGGCATGCATTGATAATCCAGGATAATCTCCCATAAAATCCTTTAGTTAACAATATATGTCCCTTTTGTCACATACAGAGACATACTCACAGGCTCTAGATATTAGAATTTGGACATTTGGGGAGGAGCATTATGCTGTCTTTATCACAGTTCATCCTCTGGACACCAAATAATCACATTCTTCCACATGTAAAATCCATTCATGCCATCTCAACATCCCATAAATCTTAACCCATTACACAACATCAACTTAAAACTCAAAATCTCAAAAATTCAAAAGTCCCAAATCTCCTCATATAAATCAAGTATGAGTCAGACGCATCTGTGAATCTGTGAAACTGGAATAAAAAGTTTGTTCCTAAAATTCAATGATATGACAAGTGTAGGGGAACAGTTATAGATATCCCCAACCAAAGAGAGATAAATGAAAGGTAAAAAGTGAGTCAACAATCCGAAGCAATTCAGAATTGCAATTGGGTAAACTCCATTAGGTTTCAAGCCCTGGGAATAATCCTTTGTAGTTCTCAGCTCTACCCTCTCGGTCTTCAGCCCCACCCACTGAGTCCTCCTTCCTATTCCATAAAGGTTAACTTATGTGTGCAAACTCAGTAGTTTCATAAGCCTATTTCCTGCCTGCAGAATTTCAGGAATCCAACAGCCTTCTTCCATTTTGTCCTCTGTCCCTTTAAGTCCAAGCTACCAAAGTCTCTGCTAATAAACCATACGTGAAAACACACTGTGGGTCTCCCAGGTATGTCACAAGAACTTCCTGGATAATCCCAACTCTGAATCTCATCTCAGCATAATTCATCTCATCATAATTCAGATTTGTTTAATCTCTTCAAAGAGCCCTCTGTGTGGTTGAATAATCTCAGTTTTTGATCCTCCTGAGGCACTAGAAACAAGTTATCTAGCCATGTTTTCAGCTTTCTCTCTAAGTACACTCCTTGACAGTGAATCTACACATTTCAGTGGTTTTTTGCAATCTGGATAGATTGAGAATGTTCCAACCATCAAGTCCTGGTTTCTTTTTGCTTAAACGTTCTTCCCGCAATTTATCTCTTTCCTCCTCTCACAGTTCAGTATAGGTAACAAGAGGAAACCAGGCCATACCTCCAACACTTTATCTAGAAATCTACTCAGCCAAATATCCAAGCTCATTACCTACTAGATCTGCTTTGCACATAACCATAGAACATAATTCCTCTAGACTATCTGCTATTATATAGCAAGTATGTCCTTTCCTCTGGTTTTCAATAACGTGTTTCTCATTTATTTCTGAGTCCTTACCAGAAGCAACTTTAACATTCATATGTTTATTAATATTCTCTCTACAATGATTTAGGTATTCTCTAAGATCATACAAGTTCTCTCTACCATTTCCCCCACTTTATTCTGAACCCTTACAGTAGTGACTTTAACATTCATGTTTGTATAAACATTATGTTTATGACAATTAGGTAATCTCTAAGACAATACAGGTTTTCTCTACTACATCACTTCCTTCTGAGCCCTTACTAGCAGAATCTTTAACATCCATATTTCTGTTCAAGGCAATCTAAGCTTTTTATATCACGCTCCTCAAAATTCTTCTAGCTTCTACCCAATGCCCAATTCCAAAGCCATTTCTGTATTTTTATGCACCTGTTACAGTAGCACTCCACTTCCAGGTACCAAAATGTGGAATAGTTTCCTAGGGATACCATTACAAATTACCATAAACATAGTTGCTTATAACAACACAAATTTATTCTCTCATAGTTCTCAAGGTCAAAGTCTAAAATGATTCTCTCTGGGCTAAAGTTAAGGTGTTGTAGGGCTATCTCCTTCTGGAGGCTCAAGGGGAAAATTCACCTCCTGTTTTTTCAGCTTCCAGAGGCCTCTTGCATTCCTTTGGTCCATGGCTGCATCACTCTGACCTCTACTTCCACCATCACGTATCTTCTGACTCTGACCCTCCTGCTTTTCTCTTACAAAAACCACTGTGATTACAACGGCTCCACCATGTAATCCAGATAACACCCACAATTCAAGATCCTAAACTGAATCACATCTGCAAAGTTCCTCTGCCACATAAGGAAATATATTCACAGGTTGTGGAGATTAGAATGTAAATATCTTTCAGGGGAATTATTCTGTATACCACAGCCATGTTCATTATTAACTGATTTCTGTTTAAAATATTTGACCCATACTTTCAATTGCATAGTTATAAGTACTAACCCCACTGATTGCTTATCTTACTGAACTAATATCTTACCATTTCCACATTTCAAATGTTGGTTCTTTTAAAAGTTTTGGGAAGAAAAAATTTAGAAAGAGAATAAAACTGTATATTGAATTAAACAATTCCCAGAGCAGTTATATGAATAATATCTCAATTCATTATTACGGTTCAGAGTATTTCCAAAGTATGTAGTAGTTTTATTGTAGGGGGAGAGGGAGAAAGCTAAAGCCCTATCACAAGACCATAACTATTCTGATGTTGAAAGATAGCTCAGGGGTCATCTCCATTTCAAGGCTGAGAAAAATAAGCCCCAGAGAGGTTAAATTATTAACCCAATGACACAAACTCCAATAGAGAGGAGACATCATATAAATTTATTTTAATATCTAATGACTAACTATATAGAAATCTGATTTAACAGCAAATACATAGAAAGCTGCTGCATTTTCCTTAAAGGAATTTCTTAATCTCAAGTTCAGGTATTTTTTATTTAGCTATCTGAGCTTTCAGGTAGTTTTTTATTTAGCTATCTGAGCTTCTCAAGTCTTGAGGCAAATGCTAAAAAGGTGGTTTTCTAAACAGCTAGAGGAATTTCAGACAAACCCCATCAAATTCATTAAAATAGATATTTGCCAGAATGCAACATAGGATGGTTATCAAGCCAAATGAAGGAGGTTCCACTGTTGTCAGTCTACTGACTGGTGTGGAAAATCCAAACGTCTATAGGCTCTACAAGTAATGTAGTTTCTGGCTTCCTTGGAGACCAGTGCTCTAATGGAACCCTAAGACAAATATATTGTCATATATGTGTATAGCATGAAAGAGCTTTTTAAAAAATCAGTAAAAAAAGTACTTAAGTTAAATTTTGCTGTGTCCAATACTACCTATCCAGTTGTCCCTTACGAAAAACACCAGAACCACTTGGATACTTTTAAAATGTTAATTTACTAAATATGTATTTGGTGGCTTGGTTTTTGCCAATTACAAGATAAGTAACATAGACTTGAAGTGGAAGTTAAGATATGAAGACTTTAGGAAGGCCAGTAAAAAGTGCTATTGATATGTGAATAGGCATCTCAATAAATAAAATAAAAATACTCCAAGTATCCAAAATAATCACACATTTCTATAAGAAAGGAAGAAATTATGTTTGCATTGACTTATACAACTAAAGACTCAAGTGGGCTGGGCACGGCGGCTCACACCTGTAATCCCAGCACTTTGGGAGGCCGAGGTGGGCGAATCACGAAGTCAGGAGTTTAAGACCAGCCTGGGCAATATGGTAAAACCCAATATGGTAAAACCCTGTCTCTACTAAAAATACAAATTAGCCTGGCATGGTGGCGTGTGCATGTAGTCCCAGTTACTCAGAAGGTTGAGGCAGGAGAATCACTTGAACCCAGGAGGCAGAGATTGCAGTGAGCCAAGATCTCACCACTGACTCCAGTCTGGGTGACAGAGTAAGACTCCATCTCAAAAAAAAAAAAAAAAAAAAAAAAAAAAGACTCAACTATGGCTATGGCTGTGTGTGTGTATGTGTGTGTGTGTGTATGTTCATATGGGTTATTATGTGGATTGTTTTCAATAAAGATATTATAATCTTATTAAATTGATAATATTTACAATACCTGGCAAAATTCTTTAGAGCTTTTTTTTTTTCAATACAATCTGATGGTAAAGAATAGAGCATAAATGTGATGTTTAAGGCTCTTTTCCCTCCATAGCCAGGGTACAACTGTCTAGGTAAAAGCTTAAAAATTGCATCAACAGTTTGAGGGTGAGTCAAAACATAAAATTTATCATGGCTGTAGAAACAGAAAAAAAATGCATTGCTAATAAAATAGCTTTTTACCCTGGTAACAGAAATAAACTTCCCAATAAAAATAGAAATTATAAAGAAAATGAAAGTTACACCTAAGCACTTTAAACATTTCACTGAACATAATTCCATACCCACAAACACATACACATGGTCTTACATAAATTTAATCTCACCTATACTATGAGTTTGAAATCAGTTTTTCTCTTTTTCTTTAAGAAAAAAAAAAAAGGTCAGGGGTATCTTTTCATGTCAATAAATAGGAAAACCACATAATCATTTTTAGGGCTGTAGACTGTCCCATCACAGAAGGCTCCATAATTTATTTAAGCAATCCCCTATTGTAAGACACTAATGCTGTTTACAATTTTTTACTCTACAATAAACATTGACAAACATCCTGTACTAACGTGTTTGCCAATGTATTCAATTCTCTCTTTAAAATAAATGTCTACGACTAGAGGAGCTGGATAAAAGAGTTGACAGAGAATGTATATTAAAGTCTTGCTTCTCACAGAAAATTTACCTCTAACCTTTTTGAAAGCAAGTTGCCAGAATGCATTAAGGTGCCCAGATGGGTGGAGGGTCGGGGAGAGTGGTCTGCTGAGCTGTGGAGAGTGGTGGGGCTGAGGGTGGGGTGGAGAGGATGGTGTCCCTGCCCTGAGGTAGGGGCTGTTGGGTGACAGAAACAAAGGGGTGTGTGATGGGGCAGGTCACAATGGGTAGAGGAGGATAAAAGTGGTCCTGCAGGGTAGTTTAGCAGCAGCGGATGGTTCAGGTTGGGAAGAAGAGCAGTGGGACTACCAGTTCAGGTTGTGGAATCAAAGAGCAAAGGTTGTTTTGAAGTGGAATATCAGGCTCAAATGGAAGTCCCTCCCAAATGAGCACTGACATCTGTGTGCCTGGACATCCACAAGGGCTCCAACATCTGCGCTCCTGACAGCTCCATGCACTAAGCAGGGCACAGTCTGGATCCCGGGGACCAACTGTCTCTGGCATTGAGCAGTTGGCAATCAATACCCTACCCTGTTCTGAGTCATTTGGGGACAAAAAAGAAAGCCTGTAGAACACGACTGCTGGCCCACCTGCCAGAGTGGCCAAGGAAACAGGATGCTCACTAAGGCATGTTAAGGAAGGTGTGGAGCAGCTGCTGGGAACTGTCTTGATAAAAGAAAGACATGGAGGAGCAGTGTATGTTACCGTATTATACTGCCCAAAGCAGCCCCGCAATGGGCATGTTTAATACCTCCATGGGGAAGCTTCAGCGGCAACTGTACAAAGGCGAGTATACTATATTCAGGTATGCACCCATGTTTGAGAGCGACTTTATCCAGATCAGCAAAAGAGGAGAAGTGATTGATGTGCACAACCGTGCCCGAATGGTAACAGTGGGCATTGTTCGCACCAGCCCCTGCCTCACACTACCTGATGTCATGCTGCTGGCCCGACCAGCTGCTGTCTGTGACAATGCCAGGTGTGGTCCTGCCACCCAGAAAACAGATAGTCCGCCTGCAGAGATCTTAGAACTAACCAGACTGCTTCCCTTGATGTTTGTGAAAATAACGATCCACAACAGCATAAAAAAACAGCTCCACCTGAAGCTTGCCACTGGCCGCTCTTTCTATCTTCAGCTGTGTCCCCCCTCACATGCAAGTGAAGACCTTTTTGTTCACTGGGAAAACCTTGTTTACATCCTGAGACCACCAGTGGAGGCTTACAGTGGTACCAAAGCTATCCTAGCTGGCAGCACATCAGACTCATCTGTGTTTGAGGAAGTGCAGAGAAGCCCAGTGGTGAGTCTATGCAGAGACTAGATGGGGCCAGGATGCTTTTGGGGAGAGCAGGTAAAGGTCCTGTAGAGCCTTTGGTGTTGCAGCTCACTAGGGAAATGCATTGCATTTGGAAGGTCTGAAGGCCAAATGAGCTTCCATTTGGAGGCCATGGCACATTGAGGAGGTTCCTAGTGCTTCTCCAGTGTTCCCCAAACCTGAATTTCAGAGATTTCTTAGCTGTCAGCAACTTTTCATTTTATATTCACAGCTGTTCATTCTATATCCAATGTTGTAATGCTATCCAAAGCATCCTGACCAGTCTATTCTGAAACCCATACTATGACCTAGGTAGGCTGATATGTTGTAGGACATGTCTCCCTGCAAATTGCCACTTATATACATTGGTGGCAACACAACATGCTTGTGTACATGTGCAACACTTTATTTTTGTTGTTTACCTATAGGAAGAGAAAGGAGATCTTGCTGGTCTCACTTTCTTTGCTTATTTGTTCTCTCCCTAGGGATATGCCATGAAGTTCTGTGAAGAGAAGGAGCAATTCAGAATCAGTAGACTTCACGTGAATGCTGAAATGTTTGGGTCCACCTATTATGATTATACAATAGAGATATGAATCCAACATACCTCCCACATATACTACATTCAAGAGTTCACACATTCCTGCAGTCATAAAACCTATAGTGCCTGATAAAGGGGCAGGGTGGCAACAACAGTAGTGATGACAGTAAGCACCACCACAGGTGCCATGGATGTGGCTGCAACCAAGTCTGCAGGCTCAGAAGAGAAACACAGCACTGGCAAAAGCAGCCTTCAAAGGTCCAGGAGGAAGTATAGCCAGCATGGCTATAGTGGGTGCTTTTATGTCTTAATCTTGTTATAGCAAGGGTTGCATAGACATTCTTGTCCTAAAAGGGTACTTCAAGCACATCAGTAAGTGCTACTGGCCTCTCCCTAGAGAGCAGCATGAATGTGGTGACTACAGGAGCAGAGAGAAACTGTCAATGCAACAGCCTTGTCAGCCTCTCTCTGCTCCTCAAAGACTGACTCTCTGCCACTCAGCATTGGGAGTCAGTATCTCAACTCTGCAGGATGAGGCCACATGAGTGAAGGGATGGAAGTCAGAGGGTCTCTACCTAGCTGGATTGACTCTGCAGTAATAACCTCAAAGTCTGGTACTACACATGGTGCAGAGGTGGACATCTCACCTAAGACTGTGGAGGGGAGCAACATGATTCACCATAATAAAATCCATCAACTCATATTATCTGCTCTAATAACATATGCTCTATTGACAGGAAGGGTAGCAATAAAACTAATATCAATTTATGATCAGGCTCTGAAAACTATCTTTAACTTTCCCTTAACTTTACATTTTTTATTATAAAAAATAAATAGATGACATAAAATTAATAGATGACAGAATAAAATGTTGAAGATTACTCTCAAAGATATGATCCTACATCAGAAGAATTCTTCTAAAACTATTTTCCAAAATATAAAATGAGAACCCAGAAACATACACACACTCTGTCTCCCTCTCTCTTTCTCTCTCTCTTGCTCCAGGTTTGAATCATAGCATTGCCACACATTAACTGTGACTTTTAGTAGACTGTTTCTTTAAATGGTCACCTTGAGATTATACATGTATAATATCTGGTACATAGTAGGCACTGTGTAAATGGTGGTGTTGAGAAACAAATTCTGAGTTTAATCATACTTTCCAGAAAGGGCTTAATTTTCCCAGTCTTTTCACTCTTGATTTCCTTTCTTAAATCTTAATTAACTGCTTTGCAATTGTCCCATAAAAGCTCTATTTACAGTAAATCTTCTTAGTATCTTCCCAAGAATTTTAATCCTCTGATGTTATTTAGAATTCTAAATTGTCATGAATTTGTAGAAACTTCAATCTAGTCACAACAGAAAGACAATTTCAAAGCACTCATCTTTTAGCTGATTCTCTCCAATTTTACTATTCTTGGAGACAGAAAAATAAAAGAAAACCTAATATAGGATCAATTCATAATCTGGAAAAAAACTGGAAATTAGATAATTTTAGAATTGTAACATCCACATCCATGGGATTAGCCAATATTCTAATTTTGCAAGTAAAAAATCTGCTTTGGTCTAAAGTAATACCTCATATGGTTTGATAATCCAGAACCAGAATGTATAGGCAACCTGGCCCCCAATTAAGTCTGTATTGTTTCTGTAATACTCATGTTTCTGATGAGCACTATGCTTTGAATATAAAAGATATTTGATACATGTTTGCTGGATCCAATCAAGGGCTATAAATGTGAAAAATAATTTATTCCAATCCAACAAATCTGGGGATATAAAATTTTACATAGTACTGTACTAATGGTACAGATCCCAAAGGTTCCTGTATACATTGTAAGGAAGCAGTTTACCAGTAGACCCTCACAGTGCTTATGGCTTTAATAGTCTCCAAAAGTGCTTCAGACCTGAAAAAATGGCTTCAAAATATGAAAAACATTTCACAGGTTAGATATTCTAGCTTTGTGAATTTCAAGGTTACATTACTGAGAAATCACATCTAATTATAAATCACTTTTCAGCAAATAATGTCAAATGAAAAACTTTTTAAAATAAAACAATTTTTGTTGTTCATATGGTATGTAGTCCAGTATCATATGATACTGGAGACTCCCTAAGAGGCTTTAAAATGACCATATTGCCAACTCTTAACAGAGACCAACTTTATCATTGTATTCAAGGACTGTCAGCATGCTTACCACATTGTAGTCCCTTGATAATCACAGAAGGGATCATTGCTAAAAGCACTGCACATTTTGTATCTCTTCTCTAAATCTTCAATCTGACTCAGTCTCTTTTTAAATTGTATATTCCTTTGGTAAATATTTCAATCTGCTTCTCATTACAAATCGTGATGCTTATTACCATCAATCAGATCCTGTTCCTAGGCCACAGTTTTCTTAATATTCTAAAACAATACATATCCTGGTACCTCATCTCTTGTAATCAAAGTTTAAGAGATAATTTAGATGATACTTATAATAACAGAAAAAGATTTAAAAATTACCATTTGTCAATGGTTGAGATGGTTGAATCCTAGGTAACAAAGTAAAAAACCATGTGAATTCAAAAATGTTGCAAATTGTGTATGTGTGTATGTGTATATACTATATATGTAAAAATATACTATATATACACACAAAAATATGCTATATATAGTATATTTTAATTGCAAAACTATAAAATTATTTAATATATTTTGCAATAAAACATATATAAACATGTTATATATACATAAAACATGTTTATATGTTTGTATATATACACACATATGCACACACAAATATAAATGCTAAAGGATAGCCCTTAAAAAATAATATTCAGAGACACACACACACATTCTTTTTTTTTTTTTTTTTTTTTTTTTTGAGACGGAGTCTGGCTCTGTGGCCCAGGCTGGAGTGCAGTGGCCGGATCTCAGCTCACTGCAAGCTCTGCCTCCTGGGTTTACGCCATTCTCCTGCCTCAGCCTCCTGAGTAGCTGGGACTACAGGCACCCGCCATCTCGCCTGGCTAGTTTTTTTTTTTTGTATTTTTTTAGTAGAGACGAGGTTTCACCGAGTTGGTCTCGATCTCCTGACCTCGTGATCCGCCCGCCTCGGCCTCCCAAAGTGCTGGGATTACAGGCTTGAGCCACCGCGCCCGGCCTCACACACACACATTCTTAAGAATTTATAGTGAGAGGCTGGGCGCAGTGGCTCACGACTGTAATCCCAGCACTTTGGGAAGCCAAGGTGGGCAGATCACCTGAGGCTAGGAGTTTGAGACAAGATTGGCCAATATTGTGAAATGCCATCTCTACTAAAAATACAAAAATTAGCCAAGCATAGTGGCGTACCCTTGTAATCCCAGCTACTCAGGAAGCTGAGGCAGGAGAATCGCTTGAACCAGGGAGGCAGAGGTTGCAGTGATCCAAGATCGTACCACTGCACGCCAGCCTGGGAAACAGAGCGAGACTCCGTCTGAAAAAAAAAGAAAAATTTATAGTGAGAGAAAGATCAGTAAAATAGTCTTATTGCTGGTTTGTTAGATTAAATCCAGTTTAAAAAACAACAACAACAACAAAAAAAAAACCCTGCATCTCAAATACATTTATAGATTTAATGTAGTAACAATTAAAATCCCAATAGAGATACTTTTTAAACTCAACATAGTAATTACAAAATACAGATTTTATAAAGCAAGCAATCAAGTCAGCTACTAGTTTTAATTTAATAATGAATAAGATCAACACTGAGTCATGTGGTTTAAAAAGTAGAAAGGCAGAAGTAAACGAGCCTTCAGAAGTAAAGCCAAAACAAAAGGATAAAAACGAGAGGAATGTGAGTTATCGTTCAATGGAAAGTCATAGGAAACTACATATCAACAAGCAAAAAATAATATAGAGCCATAATTGAAATTTATGTTAAAAGGAGTTCTAGATAAGATGAATTAAATGAAAATGGAAACTGAGAAACTTAATCAATTGGATAGTTTTTAAAAATTACATGATGCACTTGTACACATACAAATTAAGACAAAAAGAAAAGCTGCTGACTGGAAAAGATTTTGTGGTAAATGTAACTAGAACATCTGAGGAATTAATAAATTCATTGAACAATACCAGTCTTCACCAAGGAAATGGCCAAAGGGAAAACAAATCTAATATTAAAAATTATAAACCAAAAGCAAGTTACTACCAAGCCTAATAAAATGTTAGTAAGGTGGCAGAAAATCAGATACAATCATATTATTGACAGTTTTTGATTTGCAGTCATCTAGTCGTTACAGTAAATACCCTGATACTTTATTTTGTTTCAATAATTCTTTTTAAGATATAAGGTAAAGTAGTGGTTAGGAAATGCATTTTTACAAACACAGTTTTATGAGGGGAAAAATAGGTTAAAACATTTAATTATTGATAAACTGCTAAGCAGATAATAAAATACAACATATGCTTGTTAATTTCTTTCCCTTTACCCATGTAGATATGAGGTAAAAAACTATATGTAAAATCTTTAAGTGAAGACATGACACCCTAGAATACACACATTTGTTCACTGAGATTCATTCAACTATTACTTCATTCCAATTATATTTTGGGTGTTTTCTTTTTGTTTTATATCCATCAGATTTTGCTTGATAAAGAAGACATTTTTTTCTATTGTTTTCTTTTTTTCTTTTCTTTCTTTCTTTCTTTTTTTTTTTGAGACAAGATCTCACTCTATCACCCAAGCTGGAATGCTGTGGTGTGATCACAGCTCACTGCAGCCTCGACCTCCCATCTCAGCCTCCTGAGTAGCCAGGGCTACAGATGTACACTACCACGCCTGGCTTATTTTTGTATTTTTGGTAGAGATAAGGTCTCACTATGTTGCCCAGGCTGGTCTTGAACTGCTGGGCTCAAGCAATCCATCCACCTTGGCCTCCCAGTGCTGGGATTACAGGTGTGAGACACCACATCCAACGCATTCTTCTGACTTGCCAGGAACTACGCGTTAGACTACAGATGCTGAGCATCAAAGTTTGAATCTCTACCTTTATGGAACTCACAGTTTAGTATGTATTGACAACAAT